TAGTCAAGGGTTAAAATACACACTGGAGTACTTTGCATGCCCAGGCTATAGCTTTTCTTTGGAAAGTGTTCGAAATGTAGAAGCAAAAGACCTGAACCATTCAAACAATTCCAAGAAGAGTAACAGAGGATGGCAAATACAGGGACATGATACTAGGCATGCCTTATTCATAGCTGCTTGGGTGAAGGACAGTCCTAATCAGGCATACTGAATGAGTTATTTCAGACATGGCAAAATACATTTCTGAATACAGACAAGTCTTATAGTTGCTCCATGGAAGTAAACTAACGTTTTAGAATTTTTTTAAAAAAAAAAGTCTTCAGATTTTTTTTTTCAAACCTAAGGGAAAAGTTTGTATCCAAAAATAAAGAGCAACTAGGTCCTAATTAAGAGGCAAACTCTGGAGTTACAAATATTTCTCAGCAGTAGAGCACATGTCTAGCAAGCACACAGCCCTGGGTTCAAGCCCCAGCATTGAGGAAGGGGAAAAAAAGCCAAGTTTTTGGGTAACGGGCAATATATGTAGAAGTCCTTATCCTTGTGGTCCCTCGGGCCCCACATGAAATGCAGGAGTAAATGATGAATGCTGATGACAGGTTTAGAGTCAACAGCATCCTTTGACAATACATCAAATTAAAACTTGCACAGAGTTAGGGCAACACACTCCTGATTTTGATTTTTCTTTTTGCGCACATAAGGACCTGTAACATTTTCTTGAAGTTTAAGTGTTCAACTCGACATACTTGTTATTTTTGCAAAGTTTGCCTTTGATGGCTCAAACATCTCAGTAATGCCAAGGGCTTTCAGTGGTTCCTTCAGATCTGTCTGTGCCACAGCTGTAAACCTACAAGAGGACAGAGAGTATGGAGGAGGATCAAAATGCTGTAAGTGATTCAAACATGACAAAATCAGTGCATTATTTACAAACAGATGCTGTAGGGGAGACCTGTAGTCTGACTTCTAACCCTAATATTTAAATGCCAGGTAAGTAGACAACACACCCCCTACTCAATCACAGTGAGCATGACTGTGGGACATGGCACTCCGTATCAGATATTTGGTTAAACATTATTCAGTGACCTTCTATTAGAGTGGTCTCACAGTGAGCATGACCATGGGACATGGCACTCTGTATCAGATATTTGGTTAAACATTATTCAGTGACCTTCTATTAGAGTGGTTAGGAAGCACTTAACATTTAAGATGCATTTATCTTTATCTTTTAGGTGAGTAAGTATTTTGCCTACATGTATTTATGGGCATCACATGTACACACGGTACCAAAGAAGTCGGAGGAGGGTACCAGATCCCCTGGAACTAGAGTTATAAGATGGTTGTGTGCTACCACATGGGTTTTGGAGACCAAATCCAGGTCTGCTGCAAGAACAGGAAGCACTCTTAACCACAGAGCCACCACTTAGGTCCTCTTGGGAGGAAGAGTTCTAATGCTTATAAATGTACTTCTCTTGACTAAACTCAGGGGCTGGAGAATTAAAAGTTCTTCGAATTCTCTACTGCCTCTGAGGTGTGGCCAGATACTCTGGAGAGTGAGAAAGCTGGGAATGATGTAAAGTTCACAAGGGAGACAAACTCCATTACTCCCTCTGCATGCTGGAGTGCGTGTCCTCTGAACTGTTAGGAATTAGGATGCACCAAGAACTGGGGCTGCTTTTGCCCTAGTCTCGAGCCATAACATCAAAAATTCCACCTATAATTTACTTTGGGGGTATAAAAGAAAATCTGCCTTAAATATGGATGCAAAGAACTTAACTGATCACAGCCACACGGCTTTGGCCTTTAGTAGCATCTAGCTGATACCTGACTGATCAGTGACATCCCTTATATCACCAAGCTCCTTAGACTACTGTGTCCTCATCCTTACTAAATGAAGATATATGTGTGTGCTTTTCAGTTCTCTGAATGGAAACTGTCACAGTTCATGAATTTGCACCCGTGAGGAGGTTCTAAGGCCAATGCCTCCTGCTTTCCTTGAGTATCATTGTTATCCTACCACAAACAGGCACTGCAGGGTCTCAGAGAACTCTTTCAGAAAAGTCAGTTTGGTCTCCCCCCCACAAAGACACATTCTACAAACAAACCCTTTTAGTTCCCTGGTTCTGCTATGCAATATGACAGTTATCCCTTGAGCAATGCATCCTTTCTTTCAAGGGAAGGGATACTTGCTTGGGCAGGACCAGCTGCATCCTCTTGGGTACCATGGTGTTCATCCAGCTATCGATGGTCTTGGTACTGATGTGAGGGATGATGGCAGAGAGTGGGGTGGAGCTCTCAGTTGGCAGGGCGATCAGCATGCTGATGCTTTCACCATGGTAGGGCAGCTCAATGAAGTTGTACCATAAGCCATTCGGGGTGCTGGTGGACCCTAGAGAAATCAGAGGCACATTTAGTGTATGCCTGATGACTTCTAGACAGGGCACAAGTGGCTGGCGGTCACCAGGGAAGCTGTGGGGGAAAGACAGCAATCCAGTCCACAAAGCTCCCTTTGCTACAAATAGCTCCCTCAGAAGGACACAGATAAGGACAATGACTTCTTTCTTCCCTGGTGCAGAATTCTCTGTCTTCAGTCTAGACAGAATGCCTCTGGGCATCACTAAACTCACTTTAATTCCACTGAATAGAATGTAAGTAGATCATTAGGTACTCACCACACAGAGCTTTGTAAGAGGTTGACCTTTATATGGGTAAAAGAATAAATTAAAGCGACTTTTGAGATTGTCTTTTACATTTTACTTTGTTTTAGAAAACTCCCTACATTGCATTTAAGGTGTACAATATGATGGTACGGCAAGACACAGCAAAAGCATTTCTATGGTGAAGCCAATTAGCATCCCTGTCATTTTCCAGTTATCTGTTTTAAAGTAAAAAGGAACAAGTTAGCTGAGCACCAGGTTTCCTCTCTATTTCTCAAGTGCAGATGCAGGGTGACCAGCTGCCTCATACCACTGCCACCATTAACTTCCCACCATGATGGACTATACCCTCAAACTGCCACCCGAGATAAACCCTGCCTTCCTTTTGCTGCCTTGGTCGGTACTGCCTCACAGCAACAAGCAAAGTAACTAACACAGCAACTGACAACAGACTATGGCAGCAACTGCACAGCACAACCGAGCAGTTAAAAGGTCCCTGGTGGTACTTCTGGATCGATGGGGGATTTCTAAAATCTTTATTAAACATTAAATCTTTAAAGATAAACTCTGTGAGCCTGATGAGGTGACATGGCCTCCCTGTACCACCCCTCTACACAGACAGAAATACTGGGATATGGAAGTATGGACCTCACAGGTTGCTGGGATGATAAAATGAAAAGGGATAATAGATGTCCGAGTAAGCAGGCTGCCCATGGGTCCCTCCTCTTCCTCCTCTACATGAAGGTACTGCACAAGAAAGAGAAAAGAGGAAGCGAGCTCCTATTGTTTTCACTGGACCTTTGGCCAATCATAGCTTGTGAGGTGAGGAATTTGGGACAGGCCACACCTCCAGAGAAGGAGGACAGAAGGTCAAAGAAAGAGAGAGGACACCCAAGAAATAGAGAGCAAGCTTTGTTCTGTGACAAGCACTCTTAGCCATAAAATATAAACAGCTGAAGATGCTAGAGTAGCCACAATAGGACATAGCCTTAGCCATAAAATATAAACAGCTGAAGATGCTAGAGTAGCCACAATAGGATAAATAGAATTTTCCAGGGATTTGGGGCATCTCTTCGTCTCCCCAGTCATTGGCTTCACCAGGCTGTAGAAAAGCCTAGGAATCCAGTGTGGTCTGACTTAGCCTGGAATTGCTGAAAGCTCAAACCAGCCTGGATTCTGGGTTGGGACTACCCAAGAATCAAAGTTAGTATCCTTCACCTTTCCATTTAGCCTGACTGATAAAACAGTCTCAGCAGAAACTGAAAAATCAATGAAAAAGTGAGAAAAAAAATCACCTCCTAATGAGCCCTTTAATCCTTGAGGAAAACATGAAGTCTCCGGTTCTAGTGGAGCTAATTTTGAGAAACACTGAAATTCGGGAAGTGGTTACCAAATTATTGCTCTGGGGGCAGAAAACAAAGACCTGGAGGGATTAGCTGCCACAGAAGTAAGGAGGCCTGAAGCTATGGATGATGAGAAGTATGAACTGGGGTGTGGTGTGTGTGTGGGGGGGCAGGTAAGTAGTCTCACAGGTTAACCCAACCTTGACTGACCAGTAAAAACAAGCACACATTAACCATTCTATGTTGTCACACACCTGTTGGATGTTTGACCTTTTCTGTCCCTGCATCTGACCCAAGACTGGGTGACCAGTGCCAGCAGGCAGGCTGAATCTGCCCATACCCATGCTGTACTTGTCAATTTGAGAAGTGGGCAGATGGATGGCCACCTCTGTTCTCTCTCCCACCTCAGACACTACAATATTGACCCATCACCTTTTTACAGAAGACAAGTGTGAGATTGAGAACACAGGCTGGAGTCAGAGAATCAACTGGACTCAAAACCAATCTGAACAGCTCACTCAGTCAATGACTCCAGTAAAATTCATCAAAACAATGTACACATGCAACATACGACACACAGCACAAACTTTCACACTGATGGAAGCAGTGCCCGGCCAGTTTTTGAAACAAGATCTTGCCATGGATTCCAGGCCAACGCCAATCTGAACAGCTCACTCAGTCAATGACTCCAGTAAAAATTCATCAAAACAATGTGCACATGCAACATACGACACACAGCACAAACTTTCACACTGATGGAAGCGGTGCCCGGCCAGTTTTTGAAACAAGATCTTGCCATGGATTCCAGGCCAA